CCCCGCCGTTGCTCTCACCTTCCAGTTCCGGCTCGCCTGGCTCTACTCAAGGTTTGTGCTCGGCCGAAGGATGGGGGCCAGCGGGTGGGCGGGCCATGTGGGTGGTGCAGTCTTGTGTTCCCACGCAGCCTGGATTAATTGCTTTTGGGGGGGGGGACATTTCTCTGCGGACCACCAAAATTTACTCACAGACCACCAGTGGTCCCTAGCCCACTGGTGGGCGACCACTGAGGCAGAGGACCGGTTGCCGGCATTTTTGAAGCCCACCCATGTTTACACAGTTTTCTCGCTTTGCAGGAATCCCAACATTCTGGTGGAATGCTTAACGCCCGACTTCCGAGGGGACCTCGAAGCGGTGGAGACAGTGGCTTTGTCTGGATTGGACGTCTATGCCCACAACGTGGAGACGGTCCCCGAATTGCAGAGGTGAGGGGAGGTGATCTTAACAGCCAGAAAATGTCCTCGTTCAAAGGGACATTGGGTAGCGCCCTGACGGCGAAGCTAGGGCACACGTGCCAGAAGTGGCGTGCGGAGCCATCTCTCTGGGCGTGCAAGCCGTCGCCCGTTGCTCTTTCGAGTTCCAGTACACACGCATGCCCTTCGGCCAGCTGGTCTTCATGCGCATGGGAATGCCAGAAACCGGAAAAGCATCTCCCTAGCGTGCATGTGCGCCGGCCAGCTGGTTTTCGTGCGAGCATATGCGCCAGAACCTGGAATTTCAGCTTCCCAGCATGTGCATGTACCCTGGGGAGCTGCTCTTCCAGTTTTCGGTGCTCTCCGTGCGCATTCCGGGGAGCTGCTCCTTGCATTCCAGTGCCCAGCATTTCATTATACACCTTAAACCTGCAAAGCACCTGACTTTAAGGATGCTGCCAACTTGTCATAGCAAGACGGTGCGGTTTCCCATTCCTTTAGCCTCAATGTTACAACAGGGTTTATTTTTACAATGCGCTTGACGCGCCCATGACCTCTTGCCAGTTAAGCAACTGCCAGTGCTGCAAAGCGCCATTCTGACCTACTTAAAAGGTCAACAATTTTCAGCACCTAGGATAATATTGATTTTATTTCAGGCGCTTAATATACATGGATCGTGCAGGTTTAAAAAAGGCCTTCATTCAATAACCAAGGTGTACACTAAATCGTTTTTTCTTCTTCTATGCCTCTCCTGGCAGCAAATCCCAAGGTGCGCTGGGGAATTCTGGGAGTCGAAGTCTACCCCCCTGAATGTTGCACGCTAGAGAAACGCTGTTCTCAATCTTTTTCGGTCTCAGAGCAGGGATGAAACTTAGCCCAAGGATGGGCTGCTACCGGTTCTCCCCGGTTCAGGCAAACTGGTAGCTAATAGAGAGCTAATTTTATGGCCGGTTCGGTGAACTGGCAAATCCCACCCCTGGCTGGCCCTGCCCAGCCCCTCCCAGGAGCCCCCACGTGGCCCGTTTTTCCAGGTAAGTGTCAGGGCTCCGACAGACGACCTCCGTTCAAATCATAAGTCTCTAGTCACATCTCTCAGAGTAAAAAAAAGAAAAAATGATTTATTAGGAGTGACCATGTCGGTGTTATCTGGGTGCAGCCGACTCTTACGACACATCATTCATTTCATCCTTAACCCTGGTCTTCCCCCCACCTCCTGGATGTATATTCTCCAATGAGACACATCCATAGCCAAAAGTCATCAACCATGCTCTCCAATAATAATCTTGCACGCCAACAGCTTTGGCTGCCTAGCAATTACCTGAAGCATTTAAGGAATGCACCCTTCCTTTTTGCTGGCAGCTAAAAACACCAAAGAAGAAGTATTTTTTTAGTGGACAGTAAGTACAGGGTCCATGTGGAGGTTCAGGAAAGGTGAAAAACAGTACTCGCAGAGGCTCTGAAAGGCTGGAAACAGGCCCATTTCTGGCCTCCAGAAGGCCTCTGGAGCCCGGGGAGGCTGTTATCGTCCTCCCGGGGACTTGAGCATAGTCTCTGCAGCCCAGGGAAGGTGAAAACGCTGCCCCCCTGCCGTAGTGCAGGAAGCCAACCAGGCCACGCCCACCATGGCCACGCCCAGCCAGCAACCGGTAGCTAACATTTGTGAAGGCCCCCTCCCCAGACTTAGCCAGAGCTGCAACAAACCTAAGATCCGTCCGGCTGTTTTACTTGTGTTAGGCTAAAAACTTTTCCCTTCCTTTTCTCCTTGCAGCAAAGTTCGGGATCCGCGGGCCAATTTCGAGCAATCCATCCGCGTTTTGAAGCGCGCCAAGGAAGTTCAGCCGGAGGTGATTTCTAAAACGTCAATCATGCTCGGCCTGGGCGAGACCGACGAACAGCTGCACGCCACCCTGAAAAGTAGGTGGAGAGGAGAGGGGATGTCAATAATAATAATAATAATAATAATAATAATAATAATGAGGAGGAGGAGGAGGAGGAGGAGGAGGAGAAGAAGAAGAGGAAGAAGAAGAGGAAGAAGAAGAAGAAGAAGAAGAAGAAGAAGAAGAAGAAGAAGAAGAACAACAACAACAACGAATCTAGGCCCTACCCCTATTTATGTGTCTTGTGGACAGCTCCTCCTCGACTGAACGACCCACCATTGAACCCCCCCAAATTCTATTGTTGCTAAATGGAAACGTTTGTTGAGTTTTGCCTCCTTTTACAACTTTTCTTGCCATCGTTGTTAAGTGAATCAATGCCGTTAAGTTGGTAACGGGTTGCTAAGTGAATCTGACTTCCCCCGTTGACTTAGATTGTCAGAAGGTCACAAAACGTGACCCCACGATGCTGCAACTGTCGTAAGTGTGGGAAAAAAAAGGTTATAAGTCACCTTTTTCCAGTGCCGTCGTAACTTTGAACGGTCACTAAATGAACTGTTGTTAAGTCGAGGTGTCAACTCAAAAATATTTCTCTGGCCTTTTAGAGATGTCAGCAGAAAAGGGAGTGGGGGAAGCAGTGCATTCCTTAAATGCTTCCGTAGATGATTTCTAGGCGTCCAAAGCTTCTGGCGCACAAGATTATTACTGGAGAGCCTGATTGATGACTCTTGGCTGTGGACGTGTCCCATTGGAGAATATGAATTACGATACACCCGGGGGGGGTAGGGGGAAAGACCAGGGTCAAAGGTGACAATGAATAATGTGTCTCAGAGTCGGCTACACCGAGGTAGCACCGGCATGTTCACTCCGAATAAATCTTCCTTAAACTCTGAGAGATGCAGCTACAGACTCATGATTTAATTGGGGGTGGATGCCAGAGCCCTGACACGAGGACTTGCCTGTAGAGGATTCGCATTACAAAAAAAAGGGTTAGGGTTTTTTTTATTTTTTACACCTTACCTCCTTTCCCATTTTTCTTTCTTTCTTTCTTTCTTTCTTTCTTTCTTTCTTTCTTTCTTTCCTTCCTTCCTTCCTTCCTTCCTTCCTTCCTTCTTACATTTTCCTTAGTTTGAATTAAGTCTACCTGTATCTTGGTATATAGGTAGTTACCACACTTTTATTTAGTGACAGCTCAAAGTCACAACAGCACTGAAAAGTGACTTATGACCATTTTTCAGACTTTGGACCGTTGCATCATCCATGTTGTCAGGATTCCGGCAGCTACCCTCAATTAAATCACGAGTCTTGAGCCAAACTTCCACAACTTCAAAAGGATTTATTGGGAGTTAACATGTCCGGCACTGCCTGGGTGTAGCCGACTCTGAGGCACATCATTCATTGTCACCCTTGACCCTGGTGTGTCACACCCGCCCCCTGGGTGTATCGTAATTCCTATTCTCCAATGGGACACATCCATAGCCCAGAGTCATCAATCATGCTCTCCAGTTAGAATTTTGTCTGGCAGAAACTTCGGTCACCTAGTTACTATCTTTGAAAACATTTATGGAATGCAAGCTGCCCACTGCTTCCCCTTTCCCTTTCTGTTGGCAACTCTAAAGACCAGAGAAATATTTTATGAGTTGACATGTGGCCACCTGATTAAAATTCAGGCACTTGGCAACAGATTCATATTTATGACAGTTTCAACATCCCGAGAGTCATGTGATCCCCTTTTGCAAGCTTCTGACAACCAAAATCGGGGGGGGGGGGGGAGCCAGATTTACTTAACGACTGTGTTCCTCACTTAACAACTGCAAGGATTGACTTAACAACCGCTGGAAGAAAGGTTGTAAAATGGGGTAAAACTCACTTTACAAAGGTCTCCCTTAGCCACAGAAATTTTGGGTTCAACTCTGGTTGTAAGTTGAGGATTAGTTAGGTTTGTAAACTAAAGTAATTGTAAAAAAGAAAAAAAGAGAGGGAGAAAAATGCCAAATCCTAGTTCTGTCAATTACTAAAAGTATCTATTTTTTTTAACAACAAAATAGGATTACGTGAAGCTGATGTGGATTGCTTGACCCTGGGACAGTATATGCAGCCAACAAAACGGCATCTGAAGGTATTTTATTTTAGAACTAATTGGAAGATTGAAGGCTGTTCATTGCTTCTGATACTCTAAAGCTGTTCTGACCAAGACTTCCTGAGACCGTAATTAAGCACACGCTTAGTCCAAACAACTCTTGTTTTATTTCAGCAGCTGGGAATTATGTTCATTCCCAGCCTGTAATAAGTCCCAAACAGTCCCTCAAGATAAGCACCCACCTTTCTCTCCTTTGAATTGCTGCCACCAACTAAAGTGCCAATTGAACTGTAAAAAAACCAACTGAAGTAAAAAGTCAATACAGAGCTTCAAGGTTTAATCCGAACAGAGTAAACGACTTTGCTTCCTGCAAAGGTTTCTCTACCTTTGATTTCCTTTATACCTTATGGGAGGGGCAATCGCCTCCAAGCCTTACTCCTGAGTTGCCCCTTTTGTCTTAGCTGCTCTTGCCTTCTGGCAGCTCTGTGCACATGTGCACTAGAAAGAGGCTTCCTTTGTTCCTCTGCTTCGCTGCTGCCAGACTCGAAAGGGTCTGGAGGCAGCACCCCACTCCCAGATAGCCCTGGCCCTATCTCTGCATCGGACGCAGGACCTTCATCTGAGTCCTCTCCAGACTGCCAGTTTGGTCCCTGTTCTTCCCCGCTGTCCGATTTCGCTGCTGTCTGCACAGGCTGCCAGCGACCCACAATAAAAACCTGTTGGAAAATAGCTGGACTAATATTAAATTGCATCGTACTGCTGGCAATAAACATTTTGAATTGAGACCCAGTTGTTCGGCTGGAAATATCCCACCCCAAGCGCAAAGCAGGTGATTGGAGCAGTTTGGAAACAATACCACCATCCAAATAACTCCTGAAAGCCTCCAAAAAAGCCCTTTTTGAAGGTTTGAAAATGTTCAAGAACTCCTTTTTTTTTTTTTTTTGGTCTTTGAAATCATTGTTTCACGTTTGAGATGGGACCTTTCAAACATTTAACAAGATGGTTCAATTTCCGAATAGTTCAAATTCAAACATGTTGCATACTATGACAGTAGCAGCAACCTCTGCAATTCCCTACAAAAGAATCAGGGGGGACGTTATTAAAGACTGTTTAAACAGCCATTGGCCCAGCTGTGAGATTTAATAGAGGATCCAAAAGGATCATTTTTTCCTTTCCCTTTTGCATAAGGAAAGGGATTCTGCCCTTAAAATAGCTCTAAACTACCATGTTTCCCCCCCAAAATAAGACCCTGTCATATATTTTTTGCCACCAAAAAAAGGCACCAGGTCTTATTTTTTTGGGGGGGGGACGACGGACATCATCCTCTGACTAACCTCACTTGTGTGCATCGCCTGTGGCCTCCTTTTCGCTGTCAGAGGCCTTCAGGAACTTCTTCTGTGGCTGGCAAGGCTTTCCTGAAGGCCTCTGCAGGCAATAACAGAGCTCTGGATCGATCCTAACCTTAACCCTAAGCCTTGCCAGCTGCAGAAGAAATGGGTCGGCCAGGCAGGTGTTGGGGGTTGCAAGGCTAAAGGTAAGTAGGGCAGCTCCACCCCCTGATCCCCACCCTAGTTTAATTTTTACTTGTGCACCCTGGACTGGGTGGGATCTTAATTAGGGCTTATTTTGGGGTTAGGGTTTGTCAGCTTTCAAGACTCCTTTCCTTTTCGCATCTTTCGGCTGCCATAGTAAGGGGGGTGTGTGAAATAATTGGGCTTTGTGGGGGTGGGAAATGTGTTGGAGGTGTTAGAGAATGAACTGTATAACTTGGGGAAAAACTTTTATTGTTTATGGTTGGTTGCTTGCTTGTTTACTGCGCAACTGGGGCCCTTTATCAAATTAGGCCAAGGTCAACGGCCAGATATCTGCATCACCACCTGAAGATGCCCCACATGAGATTATACACATCTTCGATTGGATGGACCGTTTGAAGTATTGTGGGTGGGAACGTTGCCATCACTTTCTATATGTGTTTTTCGCGCGCAATTCCTCAGATCTAGAATTCCTTTGATGCTACCACTTGATTCCCAGTAAAAGTTCTTTTTCTCTATAATAATGGAGTCTAAGAGTGACTTTTTTTGGATTTTGAATGGATCTGATAGGGTTTATATTGGGCATACATGTCAAAAAATCAAACTAGGACTTACTTTCAGGGTAGTAAAATCAAGCTAGGACTTACTTTCAGGGTAGTAAAATCAAGCTAGGACTTACTTTCAGGGTAGTAAAATCAAGCTAGGACTTACTTTCAGGGTAGGTCGTATTTTCGGGGAATACAGGGTAAATAAAGGGTTAGTATCCTAACCCCAAATTTCTATTGTTAAGTGAGACCGTTGTTAAGTGGATCCCTTCACTTGTTAAACTAGTAATATGTTGGTAAGTGAACCTGGCTTCCCCATTGACTTGCCTTCTCAGGTGGTCACAAAAAGAGATCACCTGATCCTGAGGACACGGCTAATGCTGTATCAGCCAATTGCCAAGTGTCTGAATTTTGACCACATGACCTGCAACAGTCGTTAAGTGTGGAATGCGGTCGTAAGTCACTTTTTTTTCAGTGCTGTAACTTTGAACATTTCCTAAACGGACTGTTGTTCAGGGCAACCTATAAAAAAAGTGTTTTTGTGAAAATAATTGGACAACAATCCAGTTTCAGATTACCCTGAACTCATCTGCCCTTATAATATCATTTTTTTCCCCAGGTGGAAGAATACGTTACTCCAGAGAAATTTAAATACTGGGAGAAAGTTGGAAACGACCTCGGATTTCATTACACGGCTAGCGGGCCTCTTGTGCGTTCTTCTTACAAAGCAGGTACAATGAGTTGTCTGATTAGCAGGACTGTCACAGTATCCAGAGTGCAACAGAGTGCTCAAGGATTATTAATTAAATTATTGCCAGTATTTTATACTAGCTCGATACCTGTGCTTCACTACGAAACTGTGTGGTTGGACTTAGTTTTCGGGGAGGAAAACTGTGCCTCTGCCTACCAGCATTCATCGGTATTCCTCTGGCTAGCGTCCTGTCAGTGTGTGAGTGAATGTTGAGGGCTGTTTGGAAACTGAAACAGTATTTGCTGTGTGAGCAAGGAGGAGACAGCAAGGAGCCTGGACGTGGCTTAGCTCAACTGTTCTGTACTAAAGCTGCTTGGTGCTGTGAAACTGAAACAGAAACTCCTCTCTTCCGCTTGTGTTTTGCATTTGGAAGAGATTTCTTTTCAGGTGGGGAGGGGGAGTAGAACTCCTTAGCATCAGTGTAATAGTAGTAGTAGTAGTAGTAGTAATAATAATAATAATAATAATAATAAATAATAATAATAATAATATAGGAAATACTAATGCTCTGATGATCATTTTGAAAAATCCTTTCTTAGGGAGCACCTAGAAGCCAAGAGGAACATACGTGTAGGTTTTACGGTTCTAGAGATTTTATGATGATGCATGAGTGGTATTTCGCTTTTACATATAGAGATTTGGACTTTGAGTGGCAATTTGCCATTGCCTCCTTCTCAGGGCTTAAGAGAGACTGCCTGGCTGAAACCCAGCCTCATTTTCATGCCTGAATCAGGACTAGAACTGAGATCTTCTAACCCATTACATTAACTACTATAGCAATGTAGCCCAAATGTACGGGATTTATATTTTATTTCTACTGACTGGTTGGATGGGTCCGATACTTCAATTATTAATCCGTAATTAGATCCTCATGGAAACTTCATAAATCCAGTGTGCAGCAGACTATAACCAGGATTACTGTAGTTTAGATGTAAATTGCTATGTAATTTGCAACATTTGGAAGCTCTTTAAAATCAGACTGCGCTCTACTTCTTGAATGGCAGCTATATTTGAGAAGCTTAAAAATAGATTTTCTTTCAGAGCTGTTTACATTTTTGAAGCGTCCTGTGAGGTCCAGTAGCTAATTTCTGAGTTACTGGCAGATTTTGGAGAGTATTTAGCTTTAAAAACCAAACGAGGATCAATTTTTTTGAAATATCTTTTGCTTTTTTTTGACTATGCCGAAACTTGTAGATGCATCAGATAGCACAGAAACTACAAATCCCAGATGCTCTTGAAATTTTAGTTTTTTCCCCCCCACACACAAAAACTTCCATTGCATCTTTAGGTTCCCTCTTGTAATTGATGGCTGTCCTGTATTTTCCTGTGATAATGACAAAAATGGAATGGAAGATTTTGCCGCTTGGTTAAAACGTCTGCTTTTGTCTTGGGGCTACGCAGGTGAATTTTTCTTGAAAAACTTAATCCATAAGAGAAAGAAGAACGACATCTGATGCGTCCAAGACTGAAAAGAAGAATCGCACTCTTTCCCTTGTGTTCCCGATGGCAATATCACAGATCAACCCAATTAAAACAACCTGGAAGCCTTCATTGCTTCATTAAAAAAAAAAAGAATACAAAATATTTTATTTGTTCCTGGACCCCAACATGTTCTCATATTGTACAAATAAAAAAAAATATCAGTCATTATCCAGTAAGTGGTGTTCAAACATATCAAGAAAAACAGAAGTAGAATGAGACACACACACACATTAAGGAATCAAAAGATGGACATGCATTTTCCCCCTCTTTCTTCAATAATCACTGCTTGCTCCGTTAGTCCCGTTATATTGCTAACCTGTCTTTTCAACGAGAATCGTAGGAATAAGAAATTCTCTGTCATTATCACTGTTTGCATAAAACACAATAAACGGCTTTTGTCATTGGTCATAAATAGGATTAAAAGCATCTGTACCGTAAATGATATTCCTGATTAAAATGTTGGATTGGAGCTCAGCTACAATATTATCTTTCCCTCCTCAACTAACAAGATCCGCTTTATAAAAGGTATGAATGAGGCTCTTGAGTCAAAAATGAATCAACGTGCTGATTTTGAGGCCGTTTGGCAAAAACAGTCCCTCAAAGAGTTGCTTGCAGCTTGTCCAAGGAAAAAGGGGAACTTCTGTTTTGTTTATGTTCATTATAAATGTGTTGAGAATTCAACAACAATCCTACTGCAGTGATGGGTATTCAAATTTTATATTTATTCCCGTGGGTACCAAAAAACGGAAGCATCCTTTGGTCATTATGTGTTGTAGTTTACTGGAACAAACTGCAAAAAATAAATAAATCAAATCTCTGTCTTGTAATAAGAATGTGAAAAGATACTTAAGATTCTGCAAAACAAAAAAATTTTTCCCAGATGCTTAAGGATGTTCTGTGTCCCAGTTCACACAGCGTGCTTAAAACCCAACTTTCCTTGCTTGGTCTTGGCTTACGCTGTTGTACCACCAACTCTGATTTATTCAGCAAACCATGATTACAATAAGTCAGCTTAATGTAGCGTACTGAAATCAGGTCAATTCCACATCTGGACAGAACTATAAAGTTCCAAGTCTGCTTTTAACCACAATAAGAAAGGTGTTTTGGTTAGAGCTTCTAAGGTGGGCTTCTGTAGAAACCTCTGAAAGTGATGGTCAACATATCAGCAACTGAAGAGGGAGAAGAATTCATAATTCCTTATTTTGGGTCTTCTCTGGAATAAGCATTATTATTATGCAAATTATCCCAACCTTGATTTCACTCAGGAAAAAAAGTATCTCTTCGCTTGAGGCTTCCATACCACACAAGTCTAATTTAAACTTCCAACATGAATAATGTTACATGATATTAATAGGTGACTATTTATTAAATAGGATAGGATGGCTTTCTTCTACTTTCAATCCAAGACGTCAAAGCTAAAGTTGAAGTCTGTAAAATCTTGCAAAAAAACCAACAACCCCACCCTAAAATCTTGGAAGTTCGAAGCTGATGGGTTCCGTTAAAAAAATATTTAAGAGCACAATGATTGTATAGTTAACATGTCATTGGCAGAAGTCACAATGCTAGAAAAATAGACCTTATAGAAAAGAGAAACTGGTTGAAAATGTCCCACGTAATGACGGCGTTCATATAAAATCCTTTTCACTATGCAAAAATACTAAACTTCGTTTAGCCCAGAGCAGAGCATTAAGCGGGGGTTTCGGTGGGAGATATTGAAATCTCCTCTGAAAATAAAAATCATTTGTAATGCTTTATTGAGGCTCAAAGGTGCCTGTTATTTTCTTCTGTTTTTCCTTCTCATCCCAACTTTTCTGTCCCAAGGAAGCCTAGACCCTGGGCTTCTTCAGAGGAGGGTCCTGCAGGCTGAATTTTGGAATGTCGCCGGATGACGCAAAGGGAATTCTTTTAGCCGAAATTTTCTTTCCGATGGTCTCAATCTGAAGCAAAAGGGGAAAAAAATACACAAAGTCAGCTGGCAAAACATACCCAATGTCAACTCATAAAATATTTCTATGGTCTTTTTTAGAGTTGCCAACAGAAAGGGAGGGGGGAGCAGTGCGACAGCTTGCAAAACCAGAACTGCATTCCATAAATGTTTTCAAAGATAGTAACTAGGTGACCGAAGTTTCTGCCACGCAAAAGTGTAACTGGAGAGCATGATCAATGACTCTGGGCTATGGACGTATCGTATCCCATTGGAGAATATGAATTACGATACACCCAGGGGGTGGAAGGAAAACCAGGGTCAAGAATGACAATGAATGATGTGTCTCAGAATCGGCGACACCCAGGCAATGCTGGTATGTTAACTCCCAATAAATCCTTTTGAAGTTGTGGAAGTTTGGCTCGAGACTCCTGATTTAAATGGGGGTTAAGGGTCGGAATCCGGAAACCCTAAGCCCATGATGGTGAACCTATGGCATGCATGCTGGAAGTGGCACCCAGAGCCATCTCTGCCGGCATGCGAGCCGTCGCCCCAGCTCAGTTCCACTGTGCCTGCGCGCGTGCCTCTCCCACCAGCCAGCTGATTTTCAGGTATCTGCCGTGCATGTTCGTGGAGGCATATGCGGGAAATGTGTGCGCATGCATAGGGAGTAGGGGGGGTGCGTGCATGCGCAGGGGGGCGGAGGGAGCACGTGATGACAAAAAGGTTAGCCCTCGCTGCCCTGAGCTGATCCTCACCATTTTTGAAGAATGAAATCAGTATTTGAGAGGCTGCCCCAAAGAAGAGAGGGGTCAAGCTATTCTCCAAAGCACCTGAGGGCAGGACAAGAAGCCATGGATGGAAACTAATCAAGAAGAGAAGGAAGGAGAGAGAGAGGGGGAGGGAGGGGGAGAGGAAGAGAGAGAGAGAGACAGACAGAGAGACAGGCAGAGATCATACCTGGAACCCGATCGCTTGCAGCTGATGATGGAGATCATCCAGGACTCTCCTGCCATCGAAGATAAAAGCCGGTTTCAGCATTTTCTTGTGAATGCGCTCGTAATCCAGCTCCTGCAAAGGACGCCCAAGATAATGTTTCAAACGATGGGAATGAGTCTCAAGGGATACTTTAATGTGGCACTTATCTGCGTTTACCTTAAACATGTCCCACTCTGTGCAAATGACAAGAGCGTGGGCCTCCTCGCAGGCTTCGTAGGGGTCCTTAGTAATGGTGACCAGTCGTGAGACTAAAATGGGAAGGAAGAAGAGAGGAGTTGGCGTCAAATCCATCAGCCCAAGAGAAGCTGAGTCTCAGTGGGAGGAGAGGCTGAAGCACTTGACAGAATGATTTCCCAATAGTATTATTTTCCCATGGTTCCGTTAGTACAAACGGCTTTCATGCTATTTTAATGATCTTTTGCTTGGTGATCCATAACAACATGCATAAAATAAGGAAGAAACGGCAGAATCAGAATTGACCTTGGAAGTCTTCTAGTCCAGCCACCTGCTCAGGCAGGAGGCCTTCAATTGTGGTTGCAGGTTGAGGGTTACCTGTATGTTTGTTGTTGGTTTTTTTTAAAAAAATTTATTTGGGTTTTCACAAAAACAAAATACAAATAAAACATCTTTTTTTGAAAATAGCATGGTCCCAGGTTATCACTTCTTCATACAGACACAAAACTCAATTTCATGCTCATTTTTATATTCTATTCCATATATTCTTATTACCATTTTATATTTTCTACATAGTTTTTTCCCCTCTTCTAATTTCCTCAACTTTGTTTTAATTATCTCAATTCAAATCATCATATTTATACTTTTTGTCTGTCCTGTTACAATTTCACATTATCTTTTCTTATTAAGCAAATTCTTCCCTGTAGTTACCAATTGGAATATGACACCTTTATATCCTTTAATTTTATCCATTCAAACTCTTATTTAAGCTTCAATGTATAGCTTTAAGATTATAGCATTCAATATAATACATAACTTCCAATTGAATTCTGCTTGGTACATTCAATTCAATTCTATCATTAATATGCATTAAAATCTTAACATCTTTAACGTTTCTTTTCAGTTGAATATCATACTTCCTTGGGAACACTTATAAACTTTCCATAGTTAATTCTTTTTTTCCCCATATTTCTCACTTATATTTTTATAAATCAATACTAATAATTAAAAATGTTCCCTTTTAATTCTCTCAATCATTTTAATTTATTTATTTATTAACAAACATCCCACTGCATTACAATAAATACTTTATCCATCATCATATTTTCTAAAGTTATTTCTATTTGTAATATAACAAAGCTATCTTATGTACCTTTGCAGAATCCCTTTTACAATTAAATTTTCACCCATTATCTCTAAACAAACTTATGGTTACAATCCTTGTATCTTTTCCCTGTTTCTCCATTTCTTGTTTCTGTCTTTTACAACTTCTTTTCCTTGCCTTCTTCCCCCTCTTCTTCTCCCTCCCCTTTTTACCCCCTCGTCCCTCTACTTTTAACTCTCTCATCTGTAATCCCCTCTTCTGTTGCTTTCTAATATTATACTTATCTTTCAAATTGTTCTTCTTTTTGGTTGTTTTTTCTAATCTTAAACCTTTCACTCTCTTTCCCCCCTTTTCTTTTTTCCCCCCACTTAAAATTATTTGATCATTAAAGATGGCTTCTTCTTTGTCCCAATCTTCTTCTTCTGCAAGTGTTTCTTGTTGTTTCTCATAGTTCCAGATTTCTAAGAATTGAAACATGAAGCCAAAAGAACTTCTCCCTTCTTGTGCGTCTTCTTTCCATTTTTTAAGTTCCGTTTTCAGTTCTTCTAAGAGTGATACCATTTTAAAAACTTTTAAACAACCACCCAGTTAATTTTAGTCATCTAGATGCAAAAAACAAAAATCACCAAGTAATCCAAATAATCCAAGGCTGTTTCTACTTGCTTCTTTTTTCCACTTTCTCTTCCTGGGGTTCTATTATTTTGTTACCAAGTTTCCATTAAAATGTATCTTTGAGGAATCTTGTTAAAATTTCACTGTAAGTTCCTTTTAATTACAGTTCCATTCCTTAATTCCAGGCAGTCTCCTCCATTTTTCCAGATCCTGCCCTTCTATTCTTTTTTTTTCTCCTTTCCAGCTTTTAAAAACTTTTAAATGTCCAGAAATCTTTATTTATCCCTTTGACTTTTATTTTCAGCTTAGATGCCTATTAATGTCAAAGTGGATTTTTTTTTTCAGTTTCTTGCTTAAGTCTCTTAGCTGTCAGTATAAGGAAGGGAAGAAAAAAAATCTAATCCTTTCCCTTCTCTCTCCTTCGCAGCTTCAAAATCTTCCTTGGGAACAATGTTGTTAAGTTTAAATTCCAGGTTACCTTATTTGTTGCTTTTGCTGTTTGACCCAGTCAACCAAAACTTTCTCTTCTTATCTTCCTCCTGCACATTCTTTTCCGGTCAAGTTCTTCTTTGTGGTGGCCATTTCTGACCACCACTACAACCGCATTTGGGAAAGGGAGTAATGGCCAGCTGGGGAGGAGTGATGCGGCTTTCCTCAACCCTGCAGGCAGTCTCCCCTCTCTTCACCACCTCTACGGGGTGGCTTAGCCCCAAAACCAGCCGGCTCGGGGTGCTCCAGCGGCGAGCACGGATCAAAGCCTCAGAGAGACGAGGTTTTGGTCTGTTGCCGAAGAAGCTCAAACCGGAAGTCCCCGAGGGTTACCTGAATGTTAAGGTATTGAGATTTAAGAGCTGACCAGCTGCTGTAAGGCTGATGCAATGAAGGCTGAATCAGCATGGGTATTGCAGTTTTAAGACTATGAGTGGGTCCACAGAAGTCTTTACCACTTTAAGAGGTGTTTATATAAGGCAGGCATTAGAGGGTGTGCTTCTCTCTCCTTGTATTCCTACTCCATTGTAGAGTTCTCCATGCAGAGTTAAGATTGATTGCCTGGTAGGTATTTGCCTTCCACATTATTTCTGAATATCTCTTGTATATAAACCACAGTTAAATGTTTAAACCTCTGTGTGCTGTGTTTTGCTCCTGGGTTGTCTCATCATAATAGTCATGCTGCAAATCCTCTGACACTGTATTTTTTAAAAAATTCAATTACAGGATGCAGGTAGCGACCAGTTTATTCTATGGTCAATGATCATTCCAGTTCTTTTCTCTTCCCAATTTTGACATGCATTATGAAAAAAGCTTTTAAATATTCTTTTTTTTTTGTTCATCTTACTTATTTTAGACTTGTCTCCTTTCTGAGATTCAAACATTTGTAGAAAGCTCATCCCACTCACCTTGGTCATCCTCAGACACACCTGGGTGAGAAAGATCCAGAATGATTTGCTCTTTCAGTACTTTGGGATCATAGATATGGAGTCTGGCACCTTCGTCCATTAAATATTTGCTGATGTAGATACTGGACGATTCTCTAAAAATAAAACGTACAACATCCTGAAATCCTTACCTCTGTTAACCATCATCTACAGTTTGACCTAAAATACCTTCCTGGAACTGCTGAAAGAAGGCTCCACACCCATTTACACCACTCAGGTGACCCTGAAGACACAGATAAACCTCCAAGTGGCCTCAACAACCCTCTAAAAGGACGCAAATGACCAGCTGTCTGCAAGGAGTATAAATCCTTCCATTCCCCACCATCCAGTCCCAGAAGTTTCTTGGAAGAGAAGCAAAATATCTTCAAAGAAAAACCAAGAAAGTCCAGTGGCCTCTTGAAAAAAAAAAAAAAAAGGCACCTTTGGGACGAAAAGAAGATGCTTCATTTGACTCACTTTTATGACCGTTGCGGTGTCTCCCAGGATCACGTGATCCCCCTTTTGTGACCTTCTGACCAGCAAAAAGTCAACAAGGAAGCCAGATTCATAACCACCGTGTGACAAACTTACAAACTGCAGTGATTTACTTAACAACCGTGGCAAGAACGGTCATAAAATGGGGCAAGGGCTCACTTCTCAAATGTCTCGCTTAGCCATAGAAATTTTGTTCTCAAAAGTGGTGGTCATAAGACAAGGACGGCCTGTCATTTGCGGCTTCAGGGGTGTGAGGTACAAAATGTCCCATCTGGTTTTTGAACACACACACACCCTCCAAAGGAGACAAACCCCAAAATTTCAGCCCATTCCCACCTTCCCTGTTTTTTGATTGGGGGGGGAGGGAGGCACTTATTTCACTGGGAAAAATGGGGGATCCCCCCCCCAAAGGTTTGGGGCTCTCATCCGCTTTGGCAGTCAAGGCAGTCGTGGCTCATGAGCTGAAAGGATTCGTTTAGTGACAATTTGAAGTTACCAAAAAAAAAAAAAGGGACTTATGACCACTTTACACTTATGACCGCTGCCATTTCCTCAAGGTCATGTGATCAAAATTCAGGGGCTTGGCAACTGGCACGATCCATTCCCGGGATCACAATTCCCCTTTTTGCGACCTTCTAACCAGCAAAGGTTAATGGGACAAGCCAGGCTTACTTAACAAACCAAGGTTTGTTACTAATGATTGTACGCATTCACTTTAACAACGGTGGCAGAGAAGGTCTTAATATGGAGCACAAACCTCCCTGAATGAATGTTTCACTTAGCCACATGAAGTTGAGGCTCCACTGTGGTTGTTAAATCAAGGACTGACTGTAATCCCTCCTCACTTCTGACTGACACCAATCCTGGTCCGCATTTCGCACAGCCAGATTGGGGGGTGTTGGAATCTATAGGCCAGGCCTGTGGCTCGAGTTCCCCTCCTTCTTACCTGGTATCTCCTGTGTCCTTTTTGAATGCAAATCCCAAAATAGCAATCTTCTTATCAGTGACCGTGTTGAAGAGGCTATCGATGATGCGGGAAGCAAATCTCCTTCGCTGATAGTCATTCATGTCAATCACCTGCCATTATGGGTTGAAAAAAAAGAAAAGGAGAAAGGGAGAGAGTAAGGCCTCCTTCTTTGTAAACATCAAATGAAATTCAATTGTTTTTCCTTTGCATCCGAGTTTATAAAAACCCAAAGGCTGGGGAGATTTATGCTGCTCAGAGGTATAAATAAATCTATATACATAAAAGCGAAAGACCACTCACACATCATTACAAAATCTCCAGAACCATAAAGCCTACAGACTTGAAATTTGGCACGTATGATCCTCTTGGCTTCTAGGGGCTCACTAAGAAAGGATTTTTCCAAAGGACCATCAGAGCATTAGTATTTTGTATATTATTATTATTAACATGCTCTGATGCTAGGGAGTTCTACTCCCCCTCCCCACCTCTAAAGAAATCTGTTCCAAATACAAAACACAAAAGCAGAGGAGAGGAGTTTCAGTTTCAGAGCATCAAGCAGCTTTAGTACAGAACAGTTGAGCTAAACCACGCCCAGGCTCCTTGCTGTCTCCTTCTTTCTCACACAGCAAATACTTTTTCAGTTTCCGGGAAAAGACCCGAAGACACCTAGACGTACATACATACATACGAACACAATACAGAAGCCTGATAATGGCAGATGAGATTCTGCCAAAATGTTTCTACAACTTTAAAAGCACAACTATAATGATGTGGGAAAATACCCGAACAAAGCTGAATACCATATCTATATCTCTATATCTCTAGATATAGATATATAGATCTTTGGTTATTCGGGTTTTCTCCCACGTAAAATTGGAAGTATCTAGGCTACATTTCGATGAAGTCTCATTCATCATCTTCAGGCTTGTGTCTTCGACTTTGTGCTTTTCGGAGTAATGTGAGCATGCAGCTGCTTCCTTTCAACTGCTAGTGGGGGTGTGACTTGACTGGGTGGGGGCTTGGCTGTGTTCTGATTGGCTGGAGGTGTGTTCTCATTGGTTAGGGGTTTGGCTGTGTTCTGATTGGTTGGGGGGTTGGCTGTGTTCTGATTGGCTGGGGGTGTGTTCTGTTCAGGTGGGGGCTTGGTTGTGCTCAGGTTATTCTTAGTAGCTGGGGGATTTGAGCTGGTGAGCTGTGATCCTGTTGTTCGGCTTCGCGTTCGTGGTCGTGCCACATCTTCATGGTGGGCATCAGTTCGCTTCATGTATGGGTCGGAGGGGTTTGAAGCGGATAGTGATGCAGCTGCGGTACGGCTTCTGGTCCGTGGTCATGTCTCATCTTCTGTGTGGGTGTGAGTCTGCTTTCTACATGGAAGTGTGGTGGTGGCATCTTGTGTGGCCCTCGTGGGTGTGGGTCTGGTGTCATTCTTCATGTTAGGTACTCGTTTGTTAATGAGGGCGGTTTTCCAAATGGCTGGTAGGCAGGAGGTATCATCTTGTTTATTCATGCTGTGTGGGCGTTCTTCTTTCTCTATGGCTTCTCTGATTATTCTGTTGTTGAAGTGTTCGGTTTTGGCGATAGTTCTGGTCTTTTTAAAGTTAATCTCATGTCCTGTGGCTTTGAGGTGTTTGTTGGACCAGGGAAGAGGTCGGTTCTTCTTTTTTGATTGGGTTCTTATGTTCTTCAATGCGTGCACTTATTCTTCTGTTGGTTTGTCCAATTTCGTATACTCCCATGCACCACCTGCACCACCACATACATCCAACACCTCACTGTGAGTCTCACAGACGGACAAAATCAGTAGCCTGATGATGGCAGATGAGATTCTGCCGAAACGTTGCTACAACTTTAAAAGCACAACTACAATGACGTGGGAAAATACCCAAACAAAGCTGAATACCATATATGTGTGTGTGTGTGTGTGTGTGTGTGTGTGTGTATTATGTATATATGTATATATATACACACACACACATATATATATATTAAGAACATAGTGTGTATTTTAAGAATGTACTAAGCAGAATTCAATTGGAAATTATGTACTATAATGAATGTTATAATTTTAAAGGCATAAGTTGAAGTTTAAATAAGAGTTGAATGGATAAAACTAAAAGATATAAAGGTGTCATACTCCAATTAGTAATTACAGGGGAAAATTTGTTTAATGAGAAAAGATAATTTGAAATTGAAACAGGACAGACAAAAGTATAAATATAATGATTAGAAAGACACTGAAACTTAGAAAAAGATATATAATTGAATTTAGACATGAGACAATTAAAAATAAAGCTGAGAAAACCAAGGGAGGGGAAAAATTATGGAGAAAATGTTAAAATAGTAATAAGATATGGAATAGAACACAAAGATGAATATGAAATTGAGTCTGTGTCTGTATGGAGAAGTGATAACCCGGGTTCATGCTATTCCTAAAACAAGATGTTTTATTTGTATTATGTTTTTGTGAGAACCCAAATAAAATTTATATTAATAAAGAAATGGTGTAGGGTCTGCTTGGGAGGTGAGCTGGACTACAGGGTCCCTTCCAACTCTGTTAATCTGTATCTAAATGTACAAATTCTCACCAAGTATATATGCAAGGGCTGCATCTGATTGTGAAATTTTATGAGATGCATATGTCCAGGTTTATACATACCTATTCTTGAATGGACATGTGTGCACACTTACATAGGTACACGTACACAAACACACACACACACACACACTTTTTCTCACTGTGGGGTCCTTGGTGCTCTCTGAGCTTGGTTGATTTCTTGCAGACGTTTCATTACCCATCTAGGTAGCATTATCAGTGCTAGAAAGAATAATGTTTATATATGTCTATAAACAGACACACCATTCTCATATAACACTGAAGTTACCTAGCTGGGTAATGAAACGTCCACAAGAAAACAACCAAGCTCTGAGAACATCAAAGACCATCCAATACGTAATTTCAGGTTATTTTCCTTTATATTTAGGAATTTATGTTTAAGACAGACCTGCTTGTTTATGTATTAGAGAAGAGGCTACAAATAGCTTAAAAACAATAAATATCCAATAAAAATCATCCCCGGAGGAAGCCTTTTTTAAGGATGGGGAGTTGTAAGAGGTTGATGCTTGAAATCTCCATGTAAAATAGAACCAGTTTCTGCCCATGTTGTGAAGACACATAATGGCACACCATTTAAGATGATGGGGGCCTATGCTTCTGTTATTTGTACCAAAATAGAATAAAATAGAATAGAATAGAATAGAATAGAATAGAATAGAATAGAATAGAATAGAATGGAATGGAATGGAATGGAATGGAATGGAATGGAATGGAATGGAATGGAAGGGAATGGAAGGGAATGGAATGGGATAGAATAGAATAAGGAATAGAGTAGAGTAGAGTAGAGTAGAGTAGAGTAGAGTAGAGTAGAATAGAATAGAATAGAATAAGGGAATAGAATAGAATAGAATAGAATAGAATAGAATAGAATAGAATAGAATAGAATAGAATAGAATAGAATAGCACAGCAGAGGGTGGGAATGAAGGGGGAGGCAGGGGAAGGATACCCTGTTGGTACAAAGTGGGTGGGTGGGTGAGCGGGAGTGTGCGGGTGCGTGCATGGGCATGGACCGATGGCGGTCTGTGTTTTTTTTTTCCCCAAGCCGGGAAACTTGGACAGAGGGTGGGTGGGTGGGTGAAAAACAGAGCAGGCTTGCACATTTTCCCCGGTTGCAGTCCGGATTAAGGAGTCACCTGCACCCACCCTCCCACCCACTCTGGGGTCTGGGACACACACACTCCAGCAGCCTTCTGTAGCTTGGCAAGGGCCGCACGTGCATGGAGTCGTAATTGGGGTTAGGGGTCGTGGGTGGGTGGGTGGGGAAATGGCATGCACCCTTCCCCCCCCCCCCGCTCCACTCGGACTTGCTTGGGCCGGTCCCTCTGGTGCAGCGGGCTCAATGGGGTGGACCTGCGGGGCTGGCACCTTTCTAGCAGCTGTGGTGGCACGTTTGAAAAGTAGAGCAAAGCCAGAGGTCAGTCATTTTTGCTGCAAAGAATCACAAAATCTGGACTGTGCACAAGAAGGGACACACATGTCAATGCAATTCAATGCAACCCAGTCACATGACCACCAAACCACACCTACCCAGCCATGTGACCACCAAGCCACACCCACTCAGTCATGTGCCCACCAAGCCATGCCCACCCAGTCACATGACCATTAAGCCATACCTTCAAATTAGGTCAAACCCACAGAAATTTGAATCCTACCCCTGGGTGGGGGGCACTGAGGATGAGTTTGTAGCACCAAGGGAGCGGTGGACTTGAAAAGTTTGGGAACCAGTGGAATAAGGGAATAAGGAATAGAAGAGAGGAGAGGAGACTAGAGGAGAGGAGAGGAGAATAAGGGAATAAGGAATAGAATAGGAGTGGAGTGGAGTGGAACAGAACAGAACAGAATAGAATGAATTCTTTATTGGCCAAGTGTGGTTGGACACACAAGGAATTTGTCTTTGGTGCAAATGCTCTCAGTATACATAAAAGAAAAGATACATTTGTCAAGAGTCAAGAATCATAAGGTGCAACACTTAATCATAGTCATAGGGTACAATAAGCAATCAAATCATACTAGGAAACAGTCAATATAAATCGTAAGGATACAAGCGACAAAGTTACAAGTGGGAGGGGATGGGTGATAAGGAGTGATGAGAAGATTAATAGTAATAGTAATACAGACTCTGTAAATAGTTGGACAGTGTTGAGGGAATTATTTGTTTCGCAGAGGGATGGAGTTTGAGGGGGAAACTCCGTTTGTGTCTAGTTGTTCTGGTGTGCAGTGCTCTATAGCATCGTTTTGAGGGTAGAAGTTGAAACAGTTTATGTCTGGGATGTGAGGGGTCTGTAGATGTTTTCACAGCCCTTCCTAGCAAAACATCCAGCAATACGATGGGGACCAAATTAGAGTAATCACATTCCCTTAAGTCTTTGAGTTCCCTCCCACAGCTCACCTTTGCCTTACCTGTTGCCAATAGCGAGCCACTTCAGGTAAGTTCAACGCCTCGCAAAGGTAAACCAAATTCAGAACATCTTTTTGGAAACAGCTCCCGCCAAATCCTGTGGGGACAAAAACAGGAATTGAATCTCACTTTCAAGAAGGACAGTTTTTTAAAAAGAACATTTTCAAGTACGTCTCCCTTCTTCCTAGAATGGCCTTTCGCCTTTGTCTACCTGAGGTGAACAGATTTAAGAAATATGGGGCGTCTCTTCTGCATTTGCTCCACATTTGTGGGACTGCCTGAACGAACCTTTCCTTAAGCGCACATTTAATACGATATCCCATTTCTGTACAGGTAGTCCTTGACTTACAACAGTTCACTTAGTGGCCGTTTGAAGTTACAGTGGCACTTATGACTGTTTTTCACCCTTAGGACCGCTGCAGCATCCCCATGGTCGCGTGGGTTACATTCGGACGCTTGGCAACGGGTTCATATCCTGCTGCGCCCAGTGTTTACTACCTACCATGTTTCCCTAAAAATAAGACCCTGTCTTATAATGTTTGTTGCCACCAAAAAAGGCACCAGGTCTTATTTTCGGGGGACATCATCCACTGACTAACCTTATTTTCGTGCGTTGCGCACGGCCTCCTTTTCGCTGTCAGAGGCCTTCTTCTTCTGTGGCTGGCAAGGCTTTCCTGAAGGCCTCTGCAGCCGATAACTGAGCACCGGATCGATCCGGAGCTTTGTTATCACTTACAGGGGCTGTGATGACCCAGGGCATAGCACAAAAGCAACAAAGTCCACAAAAATATGTAAAGTCCCTTTAATACCCCCAACTTGGCCCCCAATGTCCAGTTATCATTGGCTGGAGAAAAAACTCTCCCGAAAACAGTTTTTAAAGGGGAGAAATTTAATCCAAACCAAAAGTACATATAAATTATAAATAAAACCCAACACAAACCACGTTGCAGCAATTAAGCAGACAGGGCAGGATAAGGAATTGCAGACTTTAAAAGATAACGAAACACACAGAGTTGCAAGGATGACAGAACCCAGATAAGACTTGACAAACCAAAATATTTCACATTTTGCTTCCAGCAACTTTGCTGTGTGCAGTTTGCCCTTTTAAAGTTTTCACAGCTGCAGCCAATGAAGGGGATCAGGGCCCTTTCCTCCCCCGTAAAGCACACAATTCATGTTGCTCCCTTCTCTGTTCCTCCCTGCATGCCCTAAGATGAAGAGGGGACGGGCCTGGGTCTTCCTCTGAATGCCCAGCCAGACTGTGCCCTTCCCCAGTTTCCTCCACAACCACTGGAGCCACACTCCTACTCCCTGTCTGCTGTTCCACCTCTCCCTCAGAATCAGATTCCAACAGGGGCATGACAGAGACCTTCAGGAAAGCCTTGCCAGCCTTGCCGGATGCAGAAGAAAGGGCCAGCCAAGCAGCTGTCAGGGTGTGCGAGGCCTGGCTACAACTGTCCAAAGGTAAGTAGTAGGGCAACTCCATACACACCCATCCCCATCCTAGCTTAATTTTTTCCCGTCCACTCTGGAGTGGGTGGGATCTTAATTAGGGCTTATTTTGGGAGTAGGGCTTATATTGGGTGCACATGTAAAAAAAATCAGGCTAGGACTTACTTTCGGGGTAGGTCATATTTTCAGGGAAACACGTTATTTATAGCATCTCCTTCATGTACTATTTATTTAATATTGGTATTCCTTTTATAAGATTCAGAAATCACTCAAATTAAAGTGAAGTCTGTTTAGTGACCGTTCAAAGTTAGAACAGCACTGTAAAAAGTGACTTAGAATTGGTTTTTTTTCACACAACCCCCACAGCAGCCCCGTGGTTTCCAAATTTGGACGCTTGGCACAACTGAACTCATATTTATGACGCTTATATGTATGATGTCCCGGGGTCACGTAATCCCCTTTTTATGACCTTCTGACCAGCAAAATTCCACAGGGAAGCCCGATTCACTTCACAGCCATGTGACTAACTTAACAACGGCAGTGATTCACTTAACAATGGCAGTGATTCACTTAACAAATGTGGCAAGGCAGGTCATAAAACAGGGCAAAAATGTACTTGCTCACTTAGCCACAGAAAAATTGGGCTCAACTATGGACGTAAGTCGAGTAATACTGTCATGCCATACCATATAGCTTTATAATATACTATTGTTGCCCTCTAGCACCATGTAGTGGCTGGAGAGAGGAATTTGCCCCAAGTATATTGTTTTGAAGCTGACCCAACCCATTTTACCCATCAGCCTGCACTGTCAAACCAAGGGCATGCTGGGAAGCCAGACTCTATTCCCTTTAGGATTTGGAGAAGGCAGAAGCACAATGAATAATCCATCTTAATCTGTGGCACATGATCATCCAAGGACAAATCCGTATCCCACACACACAGAGCATCGCTGGTGAGATTTAAATTGCTTGTAGTTATTGTTATGTTCAGCAATAACTCAATACTGTCCATCTTGTATTTGGTTCCCATTGTATGTATCCCTATTTTCCCCAGCTTCACCATAACCTGTTCTTTCAATAAAGCATCCACATCTATGCACATGGTCTGTTTTATTGGAGGATAGGTGGGTTTAGCTGCATGTCAACCTGCATACATACATGTAGTGGGGACAGAACAAATACCCTGCACTATAGAAGCCAGGCTTATATAGATGTTTGCCTTTCAGGGCAGCTTAGGAATAATTTTAACTAAACTCCTTGGATTTCTCACAACTAGAATGTCACCACGCTTCAGAACTTACCAACGCTGGCCTTCAAAAACTTGTTTCCAATTCTTTGATCCATTCCGATGGCTCTGGCCACCTCTTCGACATCGGCTCCCGTGGCTTCACACAGGGCACTGATGGAGTTGATACTGGAAATCCTCTGAGCGAGGAAAGCGTTGGCTGCCTTGAAACAAACAGAAAGCAAAGCACAACATTGTTCCAGTTGAAATGCAGGAACCAGGCAACAAAGCTAACCCACCGGGGTCCCTTCCAACTCTGTTCTTCTGTAAGAACTTTGAATGGATGTTAAATGAAAAGATTGTAAATCGAGGACTACCGGTGGGCCATTCTATGATACCAACCAGCTTGGAGAGCTCCGAAGACCACGTATTCGTGGTCAGGATCTTCTCTCGGGGCACCCACTGCTCGTAGACGGCACTCAACGCCCGGACGGCTTTTTGCCCCTCGGGGGTCTCGTCTCCCCCTATCAATACGCGGTCTGGATTCTTGAGGTCGTTGACAGCCGTGCCCTCCGCTAAGAATTCCGGGTTGGACAAGACCTGCGAGCCAAGGACAAAGACCGATTTCCAGGCGCACAGATGAGAAGCACCTCGCTTCGGTTCCCGATTCTCAATATTTTACCTGCAGATTTAAATTTGGTTTGGTGTTGGCGTCGAATATGCGGCGGATGCTCTCCGCAGCCCGCACAGGTACGGTGCTTTTCTCAGTCACAATTTTATAACCGTTGGAGTTCTGCACGATCCGTCTTGCGCAAGCCTCAATATATTTCAGGTCCGCAGCCCGGCCTTTCCCCATTCCGTAGGTCTTCGTGGGCGTATTAACCTAGGTTAAGAGATTGCTTGAAAGAGGAGACATTCTCCGGAAAAACCACCTGTTACTTACTGGGCTTTAGGAACAACTTTAGATCACTAAGAAAATTGTGATCTTATTTTTGTTAAGAGCTGGAAAAACACTTAGTGCATCTGAAGTCCTTCACTTTCAAGTATTGTCAGTTTGTCAGAATCCACACTCTACCGCCAAAGTTTGCCCGCCCATAGGGGTTAATTTATTGAAATGTAAGCAAATTAAAATTAGCTCTGCTACCCAGTTCCAATTAAGGAAGTTCAACATCTTCTTTCCCGTTTCTTCAATTTGCGCAGAATCTCTTTCTTTTCATCCAATATCCCTAAATTTAAATCCGCAAGTGCATTTTAATAGGTGAGACTTCTGCCATTATATGTTATAGTACCTTGATGGGGAACCTATGGCATGCATGCCGGAAGTGGCACGCAAAGCCATATCTCCACATCAGCGCCTGTGGCTTCACACAGCCATTGCTTATTGTTCCGGCGCATGCATGTGTGCCGGCTAGCTGCATTTCGCACACGCGGGAGCGCCAGAAACTGGAAGAGTCAGCTGGTCTTTGCGCATGCATGCGCATTAGAAACTGGAAGACCAAGTGGCCTGTGTGCATGCGCGTGCCAGGAAACTAAGCTCATGGTTTCTGGCACGCATGCACGCTCCCGTTTCAGCACTTGGTGCCAAAAAGGTTAACCACCACTGTTATAGCATCTTAAAAATACAGAACCATCCTTTGAATAAAATAATTTAACCATTCCTGCTTTATCTTCCTTGCCATGGAAATAGTATGTATTTCTATTTTCTTAATACTTTCTTAATACTTTGTGAACTGTCATCGTTTTTATTAACAAGGTTCACTGTATTCTTACTGCAAGAGAATTTTATTATTATTCTTTTATTCAAAGATGAAAATATATATGGATATTCATTTGGATATCACTTCTGGATTTTGCGCTTGTGATTTAAAAAAAAATGAAACTGACTTTTGGTTTTGTTGCTCAGAAAAAGATATCGTTATACAAATGGCTAGTTATATATTAATGTATAAAAGCAAAAAGTTGAGGTTGCTGTGTTTTTATTTTCAACTGTGCTAAGAGTTGGAAATCAGTGCCATTACGCAGCGCTAGGGATTCGAACTGCTGACCTTTCTGATTGACAAGCTCAGCCTCTTAGCCACTGAGTCACAGGCATCCCCAATATTCTCCTTTTTAAACTAACTGTTCTTCTGGAACTGACCAATGGAAGTTTTTACCTGGTACCGTAATTCCTCTCCTGATCGTCTTTGTCCAATGAATTTGGAAGCTGAGTAAAAATATTGCTGGCATTTGTGATTAACTGAGTTCCTCCTCCTGATTTTCTCCCATTTCCCACCAATCTGAACTTTTAAAAGGTCAAATTAATTACTTACAGAAATGAATACCAGATCGGCTTCTTTGATAGCGTCATCAATGTTGGTGGAGAAAAAGAGATTCTTCCCTCTGCAAGATTCTACTACCTCTTTAAGTCCTGGCTGGAAAAAAAAAAGTCAATAAATAAAGCATTTTCAATGGGTTTTATTCAAGAAGAACATGGCTCAAAGGGATCAATAAATACATAAAAATCAAAATTAAAAAAGCAACTTCATTCCTTCACTGTACATTAACAGAGGCTTGCGAGGTCCTTGGTATTCTCTGAACTTGGTTATTTTCTTACAGACGTTTCACTACCCAAATAGGTAACATCAGCAGTGCTAGTAAGGAGTGGGGTACGGGGCAAGCCACCTGTAAGCGAGGAAACAGCGAGGAAACCACTAAGCTCAGAGAACACCATGGAGTCTCAGTTCTCCTCCTTCACTCTGCAAGCCACAATCCCCTTTTAGCACTGATCATGTTACCTAGTTGGGTAATGAAACGTCTGCCAGAAAACCACCAAGCTCAGAGAGCATCACAGACCCCTCATTTCAATCTCGAGCTACAAATCTCTTTTATTGGCACAACAGATGCTTCTCTGGCTTTTAGAGAGAGCAAAACAACAACCCAAACCTCCCGGTGGAATGAATTTCACTTCCTCCACACTTTCCTAATGTCTATGCAAAAGGACAGCCATTCAAAACTTGTCATCAACCTAATTCCTATTCTGAAAACAACATTTATTGAGTGAGCTTGTCCTTATTCTGTTCTGCCCCATGGGCAGTTATGAAGGTGTCATGCCCCTGTCGGAGTCTGACTCAGAGGGGGAGGCTGAGTGGCTGGAAGGGAGTGGGAGTATGGCTCCACTGGCTGTGGAAGAAACTGGGGAAGGGCACAGTCCGGTTGGGCAGAGCAGGGAAGAGGTAAAGCAAGGGAGAGGGAAATCAGAGGAAGACCCAGGCCCACCCCCTTTTCATCCTAGGGCACGCAGGAAGGAATGGAGAAGGGAGCAATGTGAGTTGCATGGCTTATGGGTGAGGAAACGGCCCTGATACCCTTCATTAGCTGCAGCTGGGGACACAGTGTTTAAAAAGGGAAGCTGCACACAGCAAAGCTATTGGGAGCAAAGCATGAATTATCTTGTATCGTCGAGGCTTATTTGGGTTCATGGCGTCTTCCCAACTGTGTGTGTTTTGCTGGGCTTTCAAGTCTGCAATTCCTTCTCCTGCCCTGTCCAGTTAATTGCTGCAGTGTGGTTTGTGTGGATTTTAAGTTACAGTTTGTATGTACTTTGTTTTCGGACTGAATTTCCTCCACTTAAAAATTGTTCTTGGGAGAGTTTTTTTCTCCAGACAAAGATAACCTGGACATTTGGGGCAAAGCTGGAGGTATTAAAGGAACATTTCTTGCTTATTTGACTGTATTGCCTTTGTGCCATGCCCTGGGTCATCACAGAAGGTGTAACAGGAGGTTCTTTTGATAGTCATCCTGGAACAGTACATTAAAATGATTAACAATAAGAACAGATTTCAAAAAGGTAGCAGCAGTGTTGCAGGAATCTAGACGCGTGAAATGCAGCATAAAAACACCAGAACAAAAAAGTAAGGATGGAAAATATTACTGAGCCCACTATACCTCATAAATGGGAAGGATGTCAGAATTCCAGGCCCCGATTCGAGCTTCGTTGACATCAACCACGGTGACTTGAATTTTGGGGCACATCTGAGCAATAACACTGCATGTTGGCCCACCAACATAGCCAGCACCAATACAGCAGATTTTCTTAATTTCAAACATGACCAATCTGGTGAGAATTAAGAAATAAATTGGGACGGGGTCTATTAGAACAGAATTTTAGAATAGAACAACTATATTGTCACTTTAAAGGTACACGAATCAGCATACCTTAAAACGAAATCTCGTTGCATTCAGTTCTCAAAAGATAACCATTACATGTGTGTGTGTGTGTGTGTGTGTGTGTGTGTGTATCTATATCTATATCTATCTATCTATCTATCTATCTATCTATCTATCTATCTATCTAT